ACACACACACACACACACACACACACACACACACACGCCACACATACATAATACATTACTCGTTCAACATGAACACATAATATTTATTACCTTTGCTATCGATATTAATTTTTCTTCCTAGAAAACAGCTCTTCCGCGTGGCTAGTTTATCATAAATCATGGTGATTTCTTGTCATTCCCAGTTGAAAAACGCCGCGGCCAACGTCCTGAGGGAGACCTGGTTGATATACAGGTACACCAAGTTGGTGAAGAAAGTGAACGTGAGCAAAGTGCGGACGCATCAACGCAAGTTCCTGCAGGCTATTCACAGGTGGGTGAGAGAGTGGCCGACAGTCAGTTGTTGAACAGTTAACTTTAGTTTTAGTTAACGTTTTACGGCACTTGCAACACAATAATGTCATATAAGTGCCGAAGATTAGAGGTGTTATAAGAGGGTAAAAAACATAAAAAGGAGGGAGCGATAAAGACAATAGTAGTTTGATAGGAAAGGAGTAGCAAACCACACCAGAGCACCCACTAACCACCCATAGTCGACTGGCCCCATGGTGAATTCAGTCGCTAGTCAAAATGATAACGTCGATGAAATCGATATTATCCACCAGTTAGGCAATTCTTATCGTGTTTATTTTTAAATATATTTTTAGCTTTCGCAAAAGAAATTCAATGTTCATTGAAAATCACGTTCCTTGATAGATTCTGATTTTACTGAAAATGCTGATCACGGGCAAAGGAAATGTAAAATTTTGCAGTTTTCAGTGATCATTCAGTTTAGGAAGCCACAAAACTTTTGAGGCTATTTTCTAGCTAATCAATTGTAGCTTACCTCGACACCCCCACCCCACCCCCCGCACACCATATTTCCCGTGTATCGTTAATATTTCGACTTCTGTTCAAGACACTGGTGTATATTTTTCATACAAAGCAAAGCTAGACAACAGTCTTACAGATTCCACCAATAACCCTATGATATCATTATCGTGCTGAGGAATAAACAAGCGCATGATTTCCCCGCATCGAGTCATTATACACGCAGAGACGGGTTAGATCGCTCCTCGTCAGGGTTCATGTATCAGACACTTTCTCCATGCTTTGAATTATTTCTTTATTGTCGACACATTGTTCAAAGATACTGAGCCCAAAGCATTATGTTGGTTGATGAATGAGTATATTATGATGATCTGAAACAATCAACCCCAATCCTCTCTCTCGCTCACTCAATCTCTCTCTCTCTCTCTCTCTCTCTCTCTCTCTCTCTC